CATTAATTGAATGATCACAAGGAAATGAAAACAACATCTCAGGGAATTACTGAGCTCTCCTCCATAACAGAAAACACCTATGAAGAACACACAAAGACCTCCTGAGCTGGCCTGTATTAAGTCATTTACTAATTTCTGAATGAGCCTCTTCCCAAGAAATAATTATTAGTTTCATCACAAATTTCCAGATTACTAGGTGATTCAAAGTAAAATAATGATTTGCCTTTTTTATATATATATTTTAATCCCTAAATAGGAAAAAAACAAACAAGCAAAAAAACCCTGTGGTTTGAAGCTCAGTATTTTGGTTATTTAATGAAATAGCTTTGACTTGTATTTGTCTTAAATCCCTCCACTATTAAGAATATAAATTAACATCAGACAGATTAACAGCGGTACATTTGGCTGCAGTAAGAACTTGGATGCCCAGTACCTAAAGAGCTTGGGAAAATCTGTGAATCACTGCTAATAATTGTTCCCATGCACTCATTTTCATAGGACATGGACTTTTCAAGTAGATTTTTACAGGCTTGATCTCTGCTGAAGGTGAATTTCCCAGAAGCTGGTGTAGCATGCCTTTATCCTATCCTACTGCTTTAATAATAATGTTTCCCACAATTTCAAAACACATCTAAATACGAAGGTAAGGCAAAACTTCCAAAACTTTGAACCTGCTACAGAACGTTCACTAGTACCACTGCATGCAAGTAGTTTGGAAAACACTGGGCTTGTATTAACAGCATCCCGACCTGTGTGCTGTATGCTGAGCAAACACGAGCCTGTGGACACAGACTAGTATCACGGCACAAGTACTTTAAGCTAACCCAGGAGGCACCCCTTTCCAAGAGCGGCAGACCTGTCCCTGAACTGCCTATGACTCGAGCAAGCACAACACGTTTATGTGGTCTCGTGAAATGGAATAGGACACTGAAAAGGATCAAAATCAAATCTGACAGAAAAGCACGGTTTTAAACCATGTGATTTCCCAATCTTATGCTGAACTGAAGTGCTCATGAAAACATATTGCAAGAGAAACACACTGGGTCCATGTTCTACAGCCCTGGATTTGCAAACCGAGGCATTTCTTTCAATCAGTGGAATTTCTTCCAGTGCAGTTACTCACACGCACAAAGTATCAGAATCAGGAACATAAACATGATTTGATTGGTTTGCAGAAGTTTAAAACATTGCTGACAAATCTCTAGATTTCTTTTATTTTGTTCTATAAGGCGGTGGAAAACTGGCTGATCCGCCAGGCTTAAAGGGTTTTGAATAGCAGCATGAAGTCCAGCCAGTGACTGGTTGCTAGGAGTGCTCTCAGTGGTTTCTACTGCTTAAGGTCTTTTGTTATTGACCTGGACAACGGGACAGAGTGCACCCTCAGCAAGTTCGCAGATGATATCAGATGAGGGAAAGCAGTTAGCAGACTTGAGGGCAGGGCTGCTCTTCAGAGGGACCTCAACAGGCTGGGAGAAACCTCAGGACAGAAAAATGAGACAGCAGTGTGCCCTTGTGGCAAAGGCAGCTGATCACATCCAGGCCTCATTAGCAGGAAAGTAGCCAGCAGGCCAAGGGAAGCAATTATTCTCCTCTATTCTGCATCTGAAAGAGCACATCTGAAGTGCTTAATCCAGTTTTAGGCCCCCCCCCAATACAAGAAACATTTTGTCACACTGGAGCAAGTCCAGTGGAGGCCACCAAGACTGTCATGGGGCTGGAGCACAAGGATGCGCAAGGGAAGGCTGAGGGAACTCGCTGTTCAGCCTTAAGAAAAGAAAAATCTTACTGCCATCTTCAATCACTTAATGTGAGGCTAGAGGGAAGACACAGCCAGAATTCTTGGAGGTGCACAGTGGAGGGGCCAGAGTTAATGGGCACAAGGTGCAGCAAGGGAAATTCCAATCAGATATTAGAAGGACATTTTTTCACCAAGAGGGTAGTCAAACGCTGGAATTCTACAGAGAAGCTGTAGAATCGCCATCCTTGGAGATGCTCAAAATTTGACCTGGCAAGGTCCTGAGCAACCTGACCTATGCTGGCCATGCACTGAGAAAAGGATTGGACCAGAGACCTCCACAGGTCCAAATTAAATTGTTCAATCATAATAGTGATGACCCTCAATCATAACAGTGATGAACGTTGGTGAGTGTAAGTGGCATTCACCACAGAACAGAGATGTTTTAAATAATATTTTATGCTAAAAGGTTCTTTGGTCTGGAAATACAATTTACTACACAGTTATGCTCACATTTCTCTGTATGCGTTCTCTGATTCACTGGAAGTGAAGCTGTAGGTAGACTGAATTAGGAAGACTCAGGAGAAGATCGGTAATAACAGGGAGAGGGAGAAGAAGGAAAAACCCACCTATGCTCTTGTGTTAGCAATATGGAAGATAATTTTCTTCCACTAGAGTATTCACAAACTGTAAGGCAGCAAGTTTGTTCTGGTGTAATCTGCCTGATTGCACAGATTGCCTCAACTCAGTGTCTGTTCCAAAGCCACGTCACCATAAGAAAACCTACATCACACCACAGGTGGATTACCACCTTCTCTGGCAGCAAGGAACATGGTTAGGGAGCAATAAGGCTTCATCTTCTCCAGTGATGTGGGAGCCAAGGAGGACTGTGCCAGTGGTAAATATAAGTCATGGGACTTAGAGATTTTCACCCCAGACATGGACACCAGGTTCACCTCCTTTATCTTTGATGAATGCTAATGTTAACATGCCAAGACCCTGTCTTGAAAAGACTATTAATGCCTTTCAAAGAAGTTAAGGCTGACTTAAGAAAATTATTAAGAAAACATTAACAAACCTTTCATTCAAGCAATCACTCTTCTGTGCTGACAAATTGAATTAAGACATATTGCATCTTTCCTTTTTGTGAAAAATTATGGGAAAGTTTTGATGTCCTTGAACTCTGACAACTTGGTCAACGAGCACTGCCATTTGAAAACTGGGTGTCTGTGCTGATTTCAGCTTCTGCCTTGTCAACCTTGTCAGACATGGTCGGAGTTACGCCAAGTGCTTTGTTTTTCCCTAGAAGAATTCAACAGGGCGGAGCGATGCGTCACGTTGTTACCTCTCCTATTCCGTACAGTCATGAGAAGGCGTTTTCAGCACGCCAATGACATCCAATTATATATTTCTCTTGTAATTGATGAGAAAGTTTAGCATCTCCACCTATGACTAGTTAAGGCAGATGAGAGAGAACTGGCTGAAAATCAATTCAGACAATGACTGAAATGTTGAACTGGGAAGCAGATGAAGAGATAACAGAGGCAGTTTCAGTCCTTCAACTGTGAGAACATCACCAACAGTATATCACAATTAGGTCGGCATTTAGCTGCTGAACTATAAACAGGGAAAGTCGACTGTCCACCATTTGTTGTCAATGAATAGACGTATCTCTTCCTTTCTGATGCATTTCTTCAAACATTTTTCTGAGAAGGTGAAAAAACTCTGGAATACTGCAACGTGATGTACATGAGGCTATTCTGAAACCCCTGGAGGAAGGAGCTTGGGTTTACTGAGCAGATCACTACACCGACAGAACGCAGCACCACACAACCGGCCTGCGTTACCTGGCCATCACATATCTCCGCAAAGTTTAAAGAGATGACTTTTTTTTTGTTTACAAATCAAATTCTGGCATCTATTTTGGCACAGTTTTAGGGGAAGACTAAAGACTTGTTTGGTGATTAATAAATGTGCTATCTAAATTATTTTAAAGGTGCCACATACTGGTTTAGCATCTATGACAACTTTGAAGGTATATAAGAACCTGAATAGACCACTTATATTAACACCCTTTCATAGGAGGAACTTAAGTCACAGATACTAAGAGTGCCCAATTTGCTGGTAGGGAGGGACACCCTCAATTAGAAGAGCAATTCCAAATTTTCTAACCAATTCTTTGCCTCCTGGCTTCTTCCAGTTCTCTATGCCAGAACTCCCCCCAAAGAGGGGGAGTTGCGCTCTCTCTGGCAATATATTCCTGATCCCAGCTTGGGGATCCTGGCCCTCAAAGAAGTTCAAAACGCCATTGTTCTGCGTGGAGAAGCTTATCTTAGCTCTAAAAGTCCATTTACAATATTCCATTAATACACTTTCCTAGCAAGGAGTACAACTACAATGTCTCTATTCTCTTCCTTGATTACTCTAGTTATTCAGGAAACTCTGGCAGCTTAGCAACAGATTCTCATGACCTAGAAAACTTCAACGTGCTAAAAAGCAATGTGTATAGAACATACAAGAGCTAAACTGGAGAAAAAAATGAGGCGGTGAACAATTAAAGTCCTCAGGTACTGCTGATAGATCTACTTCTACATGCATTTGCCCATATACATCTTTCATTATAAATGTATAGATGCTATCTATAAATGTGAGCAAAGAAAATTCTCATCTCCCAAATAGTTTTTATCCATGTTTGTTTGACTACACTCCTCTTATTCCTTAATCCTTGCAGCAATTAAGTTTTTAATTAAAGTTCATGTAAAACAAACCAAAAATCCTCAAAACACAAGCACATTAAATATGCAATACATATCAATCATTTTTATGGGATGCATTTAATGCATATACATGATACAAAATTTCTTGTTATTGCTATTATACTCTGGAATAATGCTATTATCACTTTTAGTAACTTTACTCCACGATGTGTCTAGTTCTTACATCTTTTTGTAAAAAAATGATACTTGGACCCATTAACACAAGAATGATTCATGTGTGGTTTCTTCCTTTTTAGGAAAACACTGTTTGTAAACAATTTCTGTAGGAAAGATTTATAATTACAGAATACAAATGGGAGACAATTTGTAAACAAAATTAAATGCACATTGTCCCTTTCATAAGGCTTGGTTTAGCCCCATGAAAACATTTCCCCACCTTTTGTTTCAGCTCATCAGACAGAAGTAGAGCACTCATTATTTTTTTAATATTCTAAGTGTACATTAAATACATAAGCAGGCTTACAGCCGGTCAGACTTAAGCACCTTACCTTTTCATGTCTCATCAGCTCTATCATTTCCATCACACTAATAAAATGGAAACAACGATCTGAGTGGTCAACCATAGAGGTAGGAAAAGGACGATTCTGCCAAATTCTCCATTCAGACAAGGAAAGTTCATGAGTTCCCTCCTCTTTAGGCTTCTGTAGCTTAAATTAAAATTAGCAAGGAGGTTTTAATCAAGAAATTGTTTAGCAAAACCAGTGCTTACTTCTTTATCAGGAACAATAAATACTCTGAATGAAGGAAAGTTTCTAAACATCGCAAGGGTTTAAGTCTGGTTTAAACTGAAAACATTTACATGTTCTGTGCAATCACAGTTTGTCATCAGACAAAGATATGTTGTTTTAAATGGTGAAATGACACATATAAACTCCACTTTTTTCTCTGGATCAGGATAGAGCTTGCACAACTTGAGTTTTTCTTTTAGTAACACTATTATAGTTACATAAACGAGGGAATGAAAAACTATGGATAAAAATATCATCATAAATACACAGCATGCTGTATGAACTTGTTAGGAGCAGAAACAGACCTTACTGAATTTGGGAGATTACTCTTTTCAAAAGGGGGAAAAAAAAAAAAAAAGATGTAATATTTTGTTTTTCCATTTCTAATTTACAGAACTAATGTCAGGGATGCGTTTCAGACATCTAATTCCTAAATTTTAACCTCAAAAACCAATACATAATTCTCAAAATTGCATTTTTAACATAAATATCCTTCATATTCATAGCTAACGTTGTTACCTAGTGTTTCCTCTAGGTCTCCTGTCAAAGGTAACATTACATTTAGATTAAACTCACTGATATTTCTTCAAGGTTTTCTAAAGTTTCAAACTGAATTTGAGGCAACATCAGTTCCTTTACTCCATCACTTTCTTTAAGCCTGTAAAGTCTGTCCCATATTTCAAATTCCTCAGATGACAGAGACCAATTCTCATGACACCGTATCTCCTTTGTGCCTAGTGGGGGAAAAAAGAAAACATTTGGGGAAAATAAGATCTATTTTAAGAAAAAGAACAAACAATAAGAACTTTGTATGATACCAGTCAAAAGAAAACATACTTCTCTGCCACAGCCAAAACCAGATATAGACAATTTGCTGTTAGAAACAAAATATCAAAATACAGTTCTAAGTATTATCATTATGGGCAAATCTACCCATTAAACCGATATTTTGGTGGAAGATCTCATATAAACAAACATATACATAGATATATATGCATGTGTCAAACACTAATACACCCTGTGAACAGTACAGCAATCTACACAAGGAAAACATATGGCTTAAGTAAATGTGCTTCTCAAAGGCCTTGGGGAAACACTGCAAATAAAAAAAAAGTGATTTTTCTAAGAAAAGTAACTCTTTAAATACAGAAAAGTGTAATTAATTTGCAATGCCAAAAATATTTTCTTAGTCATTCCCTCGGCCAATCTCTTCTCAGTTTTAAAAATGAATTTTCTGTGAGCACAAAATAAGCGCTCAGACGGCAGCTTACTGAAGATAAAGCCCTGCTGCTGCTTGGCTCCAAGACAGTAAGCTCCGAGGACAAAGAGGAAATGGAGCCATTTTGGCAGTCTGACAGCAAGGCCCAATACAACCGCTATCCCCTTTAACAGGTCCACATAAGAAAAATGATAGATCCTTCAAAATAGTCGTCAATACAAAAAGCAAGGAAGGAACACCCAAAGCATGTGCGTTAAAGAGCAGTTAGAACATGACTGCTTTGAGAGCCTGGATATATGAAGCTTAGAGAAAAATAATTAAGTTAATTTGGCAATCACTGCAGAAAGAATCTGGGATGAATCCGTAGCCAACACCCTATTCTAAATTAATGCTGCTTAAGAGGAATCAGCCTGTATTTCTCAAACCTCTCAAATTATAATTGCTAGAGACTATGCCTGTACAGTATGGTGTGACAATGCTTATTAGGGACTCAAAAACAAATCTCCAAAAATCTTGAGAACTAGGTTCAAGTCCTGTTGAGAGAGCGAGAGAGAGAGATCAATCAATATTGCTACTACAATATTTTTGACATAAGTCTAGGAGATGTTGCACTCTTCCTAACTAACACATAGTTCAGGGATGTAGCAGAGGAAGAAAAAAAGAGAGAGCTGACGGACCAGAAAACTAGGAACATTTATCAGAAAAGCATATCTCATGGTCTTTCCTTTTGTTTATGAGAATAGGAAGGGAGCAGGCGCGCTCTACCCAGCAACCATACTCCCAGACAGAACATTGCAGCGTTGAATTTCCATGGAGTTCCGGACCGAGGGCTACCTGGACAAGGGAGAAAGGGCAAGAAAGAGTGCTCAGCTGTAGTCAAAAACCAGGCCGGTCCAAAGTGATTAGGATAACTAAAAATTTCTACTGCCTTATTTAAGACACCATCAGAAAGAAGACCCAAGAACGATGGCATGGCAAGGAACCCAGAAGGCATTTTCAAACAGCAAGTTGCTGAAGAGGGAAAAGACGACACAAGCAAAAAATTTCATCTCCCATTCTTGAAGATGGTTGTCAAGACAACGCACCAGAACTCCCCCTAACAGTTCAGGTGACAAGCGTGCCATCCAAACAACACGGCCAGGGAGACAGCGCGAACGGCAGCTGCCTTCGGTTCTCTGTGCTACAATTTGCACAAAGACAAGAGGAACCTGTGAGACCATGTGCTTCAGCAATACACGGTGTTCGTACTGTCCAACACTATGTAAGCATGAAGGCCTCCAAAGGCTGGCAAAACTTAGTAACAGATACTCCTCAAAGCTCTGGGCTCAATAACAGAGGTATTCAGTTTCTGTCCCTGGGCAGAACAAATACTGTGGGCTGTCAAGACAATGAAACCCGCACCTGACAAGGCAAGGGGAAGGAATCCCCTTGTCAGGTAAAGCAGAACCGCAGGAGCCAGTAGGCACTAGGTTAATGCCCAAATTACAGGTTGCACAACTACTCCCTTAATCAGAAACAAAAATTTCACGCAATGTGAGGAAAGGCCTCACCATCTGACCCAAATACTTGGCTATCTCGGGCTAAGGAAGAAAAGCATGAGGTGAAGTCTGCTTGCAAGCCCTTTTCAGCCACTAAGCCTACTCACTATTATAAAGACAGGGAAACTGAAGCAGATACCATACTGAAGAAAATCATCTTAAAGCAAATTATTGTGCAAGTTATCACTTCTACTTTTTAACATTTAACCCATCCCCATTGTCATTCCAGTCACCTTAGATGAGTAAACGTCACGTACTGTGACAGGACTGCAATTCCACACCGAGTGAACAGAGACAGTCAGGGACCGAGACTAACCTAACTGCTATCACCATATATGTAAAATACAATTTCAGATTTAAAGGCTGGCAAAACCAAAAAAACCCTTACATTTTCCATGTTCAAAAACTGTAAATTGAAGAATTCCTTCTTAACAGAAGGGAAAAGATATGTCACCAGGAGACTTCTCTGTCATAGAGCTCTCTGAAATAATAGTTTGATAACAATCTAGGCAACGTGTTGTCCGTTGAAACGGGCACGTATTTGCACTAAGTCAGAGAGCCTAACATCCAGTCAGAGATCCTAACATCCAAAGAGAATATTATAAAATCTGCAGATTATGAAGTGCTTCATTTTTACACAAAGCCACAATTCAGAGATTACTAAAACTCACTGTGTGGATGACAAAGAGCTCTCAAAACTAAAAGCAAAAGTTAAGCCAAAGATGCCAAGACATTTCAAAAATACATTGACTGAGTTATCAGAAATCAGTAACAAATAACATATATACTGGCATAGATCAGTTTACAGGTTAGCTTACTGTAACCAGTCCTGGAGCAAAGGCAGGAAGTTTCCATTCTGGTGATCAGATTTGCATGGGGAATGTAGATTATTGTGAAACATGGATATTGCATTAATATCATAAAGCTAAAGCTTTTTACAGTATGTTTTGTATTATTAGCTGTATGCTAATGAGCAATTGCAAAGAACCAGAAATTCTTATTTAGTTCTCTCAGAAAAAAATTTCCCATCCAAATGTGGAGTTATTAGGCTGTTTGGATATATAGTTGAGAACGATCATTGTCTGTTTAGAAGCTGGCAACAGCATCTCCCCTTCATATGAAGGGCCACATACTCACTTTAAGGGATAATTATCTTTAAGAGTAGTAGAGCCAGCCATGATACATAAATCCATCGCCATTCAACTGGTGCAAGGCTCTGCCGGCTTCCCCAAGAAATTATGAACGGACGAAAGAGAGTAAGAATACTTCCTTTACTCAAAGCGTGGGAATCTGTGAGAAGGAAGGGGGGCGTGGGAGAACGACAGGGAAAGCAACAAGTACCAGACTGCTGCTGGGGTTGCTTTTGATCAGATTAAAATTGATGCTCGCGCTCCCATGAGTAGCCCAAGCAGCTTGCTTGTGGCAGGCTTGACTACACAAGAAGGATGCAGTTGGCATTTTGTAGAAGCCATATCACTGGCCAAAAACATTAATTCAAAATAGGTGCAGCTGAAATGAGTTTAAGTAAAACAAAACTCACACAAATCAAAGAAAAATCATTAGGATAAAGTTTTATGCAGCTATCATCCTGAAAACAATGAGAAGGAGCAACCCAAAGGAGGCAAAGGAGAAACTCTCTTTTTCAATTAATATATACAAAGAAGCAGATGATTGAGTTTTCAAAAGCCAAAGGCCGAGTGTTATCTTAATCTTAAAGATGAAGAAAGTTCATTCTTGAGGAAAACCAGAACAAAACAAAGCTGATGTGAGGCACGCACCAAGGGCTACATTCTTAGCACCGCATACAAAGCAGTGCGCCTTTCTACTAAACCGGTACTATCAGCACAAGAAATCTGAACCTCAGCAACTGAAGCACATGTCTAGAACAACAAGTTCTTGATTCTCTGCTTTTCTTAAAGAAAATAAACATTCCAAACAACAGACTTCTGCAGTATTCCCACAGAGTTTGCTAACAGCCACTTGAGAAGGCAACGTGAATTACTGTGCACATTTAATTTGGAAAGGAGATGAATGCTGAAAATTTATACAGAGGCCTCGCCACAACTATATTGAAAAGCAACCTGAAACGACATCAAAACACCACAGAGGACTGCAGAAGGCATTGGTATATTTTAGAAAAAGACAGTAAAAAAAGAAGATTGTGTAGTTAGGGTAAAAACTGCAATTAAGGAAATAATACGAAACTCTTAAAAGCGGGGAGAAGAGTGCTTGTGAAGAACCAGGAGGAAGAGAACTCACAAAACGAGATTCCACCTGTACAACTGCAACGCAAAAAGAAAAACAAAACAAACTATTGATAGCTTAAAATGACACTTAGATCCCAGTAACAACAGAGCATGAGGTAAGCATGTTGTAACGGACATTAGCTATTATGTGCCGTGCCCACTGGGGCTTCATATCTCTCACAGAACAGGGAGATTTGCAGAGAACTTGGAAAGATTATAACCTTGGAGACAATTATCCAGATCTTTCAGCATTTTCACCTTTTCAATTCCCTTTTGGGATAAATAGTTATTCTCATTTTATAAATTAAAAAAGACCAAAAATCATGAGCTTTCTCCAAAGACTTCTGTTCAGAGATTTTTTCCTCCAATATGTCTTAGCAATGTACTTTAAATGCAAAATCATTCTCTTTCTTCTATGCTTGGTTTACTACACTTCCTAACACGCTCCTCAGCTTTAGCAAACCAGAGAGAGAAAGACAAAGAATATCTACAACTTATTCATTACTGCTGGCTTTTTCATTTTTCCCATGTGACAGGAAGCACTAAAATAAGAACAAGAGAAACAAAAAAACAAAGACTTTTCTTTTCAAAATTTATCTTGAATGTGACCCACATCAGAAGCAGACCGCCACTTGCTTCGTACAGTAATGAAGAGGACTTTGATAAATCCATATAAAGTTGGTGTTCCAGATGAAAAAAAGTTTCAAGAATTTGCACTCAATGTAACACTTGCAAGACAGAAGTCAATCATGTTCATCTTCAGCAACTGAAAGATCCCCACATACGCTCTGTACTCCAATTGTGGCTGCTGCTAACCTATTTCACACAAAAGGAACCTGGTAATTACTGCCTTTCAAGTGCTATTCCCTCAGCAGGAAATATTTTCAGCATTTTATCTTCTTTATATGCTTACTGCCTCTGATTTCTATTTCCTAGGACAGACTTTTATAAACACTCTGAAATGATGTTTTTAATTCCATGTTTTGCTCTGCTGATTTTCTTGCACCTTGTATGTCTGTCTGTACCACCTCCGGTTTTCCTTACCAGCTGCCGTCTGCGCTGTGTGCAAAATCCAGACGAGCAAGCTTTATAGAGAGCTCCAGTGGCAGAATGGGAAAACATTACCATCAGGAGCATCATCCCAAGTGTGCCACAGTTGTGTCTGCAGCACAGGCATACTTACAAAGTGTTGGGGCTGGAGATGTCATGGATGGACTTACAACCAGTACTAATCCCTCTCCTGTACATTTCTACCCTGCAAAATGGGAGATAATATGAGCAAGCCAAAGGGTAAACTGCCTTTTTTCCTGCACGATTTCATAGCTTGCTTCCCCTTTCTGTGTTCAGCCGTTTGCTTCTGCTGGATGATGTTCAGAAAGATATCAGATGTATATTCTGATAATAAGAAATTTAAGTTCAGAAGCATTTAAAAACCTTAACCCTGATGGGTCCAACTACACAGATACTGCAATACAAAGCTACTGAAGTCTTTCAGGAATTTCTTCCTTCAAAATAGCTCCTATTGGTCTTTAATGCTAGTCTAAATCTAGCATGAAAATTTCAAGTATTTACAGAACATTAGCTTTTTCCTCCTATCATAAAAGGGAATCAGCTGAGGAACAATTTCTCTTTTTAGATTCACTTTTCTCCAGCAGTGTGCAATTCATAAATAAACTACCCTCGCTTCCTCCCTTTCTTCCCCCCCAAAATCCTTTAGTTTTAATGCACTTCTGTATTACTGTCATTTGCAAAGGCAGAAAGGAGCTGTTCCTTGTATTAATAAAATCATTAAGCCCAAGCATTATAGCTAAAAAACAGATTTAGTACAGAATTATCACTAAACATTTAGTGATGATTATGTCATCTGACATAGGCCTATCAGAAGGCTCCACAGGCATCATTAACATTTGCCTCTTCTGATTGTAGCAACGGCTGGAGGCTCATTGACTCCAGGGGAAGCTCTACGGAGACAGACAAAAAAAACATCTGATTTGAAGTACAGACATTTAAGGACAGAACTGTAAGTTGAGGAACCGAATGTGGAATCAAAGTTGCCGTCAGCACAATATCACAATTTAAGGGTTACAGCTGATAGAAGTGACACTTGCACTACAGACTCAAAACTCGTGAGTGCACAGTTTTGATACGCTGCAATATAACAACGTGAGATAGCAGCTTACACAGTGCTTACAGAAACACCATAATCCTCTTACCAGTGACACAGGAAAAGAGAGCAGATTTATGCTGGAGAGAACTAGATCTTCTCTCTTTGGAAAGCACTCTTGAATTGCTTGGTTCATATTCTTCTGCAGTGATGAACATTTTATGCAACTTTGGATTTATGCCTTCTGGAATCATACGTGGGCTATGTTGGTAAAAATGAAGCATTTTGTTTTCTGCAATAGCTTTGTGAATGCTCCTCTTGTTAGACTGGCTTTGATTGTAAGTCTGTAAAAGATAGCATAAATCATTTGCTGTTGGACAGTTTATTGACCTAACTTTATCAAAAGCAAAAGAACACCTGAGTATCTATGAGGTTTCTCATAATTTCATCACGTTCCATTACAAAGCTGCAAAATCTTTTACAAACACAACTAAAACAAAACATGATATAGAGCCCAGAGAGCTAACCAGATTCCCTCTTCCATGAATACGGTCAGTTAGGTCAACATAACCACTTGTTCAAGTGTCAGACTTGCAGTATGACTCCCCATTATGGTAACGAAAGCAGAGAGAGGAAAGGAGTAGAAGGATGTATAAGAAAACAATAAAGTAATAAGACTGCATGGAAAATATCATAATGTTTACTTTAAAAAATAGTTACTAAGTTCTTTTTTTTGAAGGGAAGTTTCATAGATATTCTAAAATATCTAAGTCCAATTAAATTTGAAAGATCATCTTTTTGTGTTTAGGTAAAACATTCAAAGCAATGGTGGCAAAAAACGAAAAAGAAACAAAGAACGATTGTTCTTTAAATTGCAAGTGCGCCTTAGAACATGAAATCCTTAAAATACACCAACCAAAACATAAACCTTGATATACAGCTATTTAGTCTGTCCTTGATATACAGCTATTTAGTCTGTAAATAGCTCAAAAGCGGGCACAGCGCTGGAGAAGAAAGAAACACGCAGCCCTTGCCTGGAGGAATTCACAGCCTGCCGTAGACGTAGGGATGCTGCAGATTAGACGAGAACAGGAACAAAGACGGGGGTCATGCAAAATCAGGCAGAGGGTTATTTGTATTTGCCATAGATACTGCAAGACCTTTCAGCTCCGCTCCGCTTTCATTGTGAAACAGAAACAAAGTCATTGATGGAGAAAGGAAGGAGAGAAATGAGCCGGCACTTTTCACGTTTCTCCTAGTGCTCTCCTCCGAGCCTCTGCTACAAGGTCACGGCCGGAGAGGGCGGCCGGCTGGCCGGCTGGCCGGGGCGGACTCGCCGCCCTGCGCGTGCCGGGTCCGGCAGCGGCGCTCCCATGGCAGATGGCCTCTGACAGCGGGCTCCGGGAGACGCACAGAAAAGGCTCTCTCCGAAGGCGAGTGAAGAAGGCTAACGGCAGAACGAGTATATTCGCATTTGGGGCAACTAACTTCAAAGGGGGGAAAAAGTGGGGGTTTTACTGTTTGTTAGGGTGGGGAGGCAAGGAGGAGAACAAAGGAATAAAAGACTTCTGTAACAAAAATTCTCATCAAATTAGAAATTTCCAGACCTGCATTTTCTCATTTTTTTCCAATACAACTTCTTCAAAAGCTTTATGATTGGCTTTAGAGGTGTTTTTTTGGTTGTTTGTATTTAAACAAATTCTCAGGAGTTAATAAGACACCATCAATTACGTAGCTACAACTTTCGTGATGCAGGAGAATCTCCACGTTAGCAGGAGAGCTGTTATTCTTCAGCAGTAAAAGTTGCTTTGATTATCTCAAAATGAATAAAGCGACTATTCGACCCGCAGCAACGTTCTGCTTCCAAGATTTCTGAGCAAATCTGAAGAACAGTAACGCAACTGCTTAAAGAGAAACTTTAAGGAATTTTAAGGGACCATATTAATACCCTATTACAGAGTGGAGCTTCCAATAGTTATCAATCTTCATAAGTAGCATGTGAAAATGCCGACTTATAGATACTATTCACGTTTATCATTTTTAACTCAGTAGATCCTTCAAAGAAGCTTTTTATTCCCCAGGTAGGAGTCTCCCGACCCCTCACTTAGAATTAAATCTCTGCTATCCACAAACTCAAATCAGAGAGACTCAAGATCAACTGGAATAAATGAAATAATAACAAGACAAATTTTGAGTTTACGTTTAGCATACACAGATCCCAGATTTCACTTCATGAAACAGTATCCAACTGAGAACTCACCTCGCAAGTAAAATAAAACCAAAACCAACACAGAACAAAATCAGTTTTCAGGCAGAACAGCGAGGTGCCTTGCATTCAAAACGGGGTTGCATGGTAAAACTGTAAAGCTGCAGTTTCATATTTCACTGCAACCACTCTAACCAAAGACGGATGTCAACATCCAAAGGGATTGCCTTGCCTCCTCCTACTCAAACATAACCCTTGCCACCTCCCTTGGATCAGACCGAGCAGTGGAGGGACCGCAGGACGGAGGAGGTCAGTGTGCCGATACAGCGGGAGATCAGTCCCCCCACCTCACAGCTTAGTCTTCTACTGGTACGCTAGCTTCCCAAGGGGCAGCCTGCAGTCAGAGAAGATTAATTCTACCCTGAGTTGAGTGCTGAGGTTCAGGAATTTAGCAAAAGGAGATTTCCACTTAAGCTGATCTCTTCAGACCTCACACGCCTGGCTGCTACGACTAAGTACTTGTCTGAAAGCACAGTGTCGTCAGCAAATCAGCCCGAGGCGCTCTCAGCCCTCTACTCTCAGGGCTTCATTTCCATCTTTTCCGCAGATTATTCTGTAGCCTTGGCAAAAAAACAAACAAACAAACAAACAACCCCCTAAAATATTTTCTGTGTTTCAGTTTATCATTTAAAAAATAACAGTTATTAAGAACAAAGGCTCAAAGGCCTTAACGCTGAGAAAGCACACGGACTTTTAGAATATTACAGGCCAAATTTCCCTGCATGAAGAGTTAAAATGCTGCTAAAAGAGGTCAGGATTGCCATGATTTTAAGTGTTCTGAAACAGACTGAACAAGTCATTTGGTTTTCCCCAGATCTGAATGCTCCGTAGCAGGAGGAAGCGACATGCTCACCCTCTCTTCCCGCCCTTCCGCAAGGATAACCACAATTCTGCCTCGCCGTTTGCGTCCAGTTCGGCCCATTCTCTGCACAAGGCGAATCGGACTTTTCTGAGCATCAAAGCAGATGATGAGATCGACTTCTCCAATGTCCAAGCCTTCTTCCCCAACACAGGTCGACACCAGAGTGTTATACCCACCTTCCCGAAAGCGTTTTACCACCTAAATAATGGATTAAAACCAGTTTTAACAGGCTACCTGCAGGGCTCCTTATACACATGCAGCATTGTTTATTAGCTTCATCCAGAAGTTGAAAAACTGAATTACATTTTAAGGTTACAAATGCTCGATCAGCCTTTCCAACTTTGTCAACTATGTCTTTCAGGACTGGTGATCAAAATACAACACACTAATGTTATCAACATCTGATTCTTCTTTTCTTAAATAAAGGAGAAAAAGAACACCATTATTCTAATTTTAAATGTTATGTTCCCAACTCTACAATGAAGTACTTTTTTTTTTTAATTTTATTAAATCAAAATTTAAGGATATCTCTTCTCTATTTCTAAGAAAAAAATCCCCTAAGCAAACAAATAACTATTTAAATGTTTCCACATTTTCAAATATGTAAAACTTAGCATTTCATATTATACAAATGTAAACGTATAAAATATTTCTATTTATGCATTCTGCTCAGTGGGTATCATCTCAGATACCCTAGAAGCAATTGCATTACACAGGAGTTCACTACTTACACTGTAAGGTTCAGTTACTGCTATACAATCTATATTAATTATTCATACAATTAGTTACACAATTAATATTCTTTGTAACATCATCTTCTATAACAAGCGTCATCTTCTCTTTACCTCAAGTTGTTCCTTTTGTGTGAAGCCTTTCGTGCTCTTTCCTGTGGAGTGGCCGACAAAGGTCATTACTCTGACAATCGGATTGAGCCGGGAAAGCATTTCTGCAATTTCTTGCACGCTATCTCGAAACGATGAGAAGATCATTACTCTGGTATCCACAGTATCCACCGATTTGTTTTCAGTCATGTTTTGATCTGTTTAATTTAAAAAAGCCATAAAAACATTTTTGTACATAATTTTAAAATAACAGGAACAATAATAAGGTGACGACAGGTCATCCCACAAGTTACAAATTCACAGCTCTCATCTGACTCAAGGGTTAGAAGATTTTGTCCACACATAGTGTATTTTCATTTCTCATTTATACAAAAAAATCAAAAAATAATTTAAGTAGGTCAATTCAAAATATCAATAGGGAAAAGTGACAATTAGGAACTTCGAAGTCTGTTTAGAGAAACCTCTTCATTCTCAGAAAATGCTCTGAGATATACCTGCCAAGCGATTCCTCCCTGGAATCAAAGTGGTGCTCCGATTTCGCAGAACTTGCACCAACTGTGCTGAGAATTTCTTATCCCTGAGGTACCATTATTAATGTTGCTTTGAAAAGCTCAAGTTTGCTACTAAGTGTCTTGAAATAAAGTTTAAAATGCTTCCTTCCAAAGAGACTACAATGTGATTTTCAAATTTGTCACTTAAGTGCCCAGAGGCAGATAAGTTTATCAATGTATGGCAATAAAAAACACTGTTAGTCTAGCATAGAGCGTGACGGAGTACTAGAGCTGTATATCAGCATTTTATGATTTACTAGAGTCATCTCTAGATCTACAACTTCGGATCCTCATGAGAGCAGAAAAAGAAACGTCCGCAAATCTGCCTCATCTACCGAGATCTGTTGCATCTGAACAATCGGTCATCACCATTCTTCATATTACTCATTTTAATGGCAAAAAAAGAAAACTATTGCCTCAAAGAAAAGGGAAAAATAACTGGTTTGATTAATTCATTCTGAAGTTTACTCTGATTTAAATCAGCTGAAAAAGCCTTTTTGCTCTGCAGATGTTTTATTTTGACAATAGCATTACAGTCACACCCACATGTTGCAATTAATCAAAAATGAAGCTATTTCATTAAAATCTCTTCAAACAACAAAATCTATTTCCAATAGCCAACACACCACAAGGGAAATATAATTTCACAGAAACCCAGGGTATTAATTTAAAAAGATTTTAACAAGCTAATTACCAATTCCTAAAAAAAACCCCTTCCCATTTCCCGAGCACACGCTGAAGCATTCCTTGCAGAACGACCACGTTTAGCCTCCAGTTAAACCACACGTGCTCCCTTCCCATCACAATATCCTCGTAGCAGTAATAAGCAGAGAAAGAGCTGACAAACGAATATCGACTACTAGACAGGCTTTCTTAGCAACGTGCCCCGGACCAGAAACATGTTTCTTACGTTACATTGCCACAGTTCAGATTCTGACTTCCGGACGCTGAACTTCTCTCTTTTTCCACGTAAGGCTACCGGCCCTCCAGAGCACAGGCAGAAGCTACGGGAGCAACGTGCACGTCCTCTGAACGGTCAGCTCTGTCTGTCCTTCCACACACTAAAACAACATGCCCGTTGCTGCATGCTGGGGTGTCAAAGCCTCGTATCTTAAAAGGAGAATCTCCAGTAGGATATCATGAATTAACGAAACCAGTACAGCCTGCATGCGTTACCTACACACAGTCCCCAGTTAAAAATCAAACAGATTTCAGGAGATGAAGAGCTCCTTTATTACACAGTTCTCCACAAAAGAACTTTACCTCATCAAAAGTAATAGGAAAGTTATACAAAGAATAAAAATTCTCAAGACTGACTTTATAAAAAGATATTTTCCTGAACATATGAAGAACAGTCACCTGCTATGCCTGCAATTGTGGTATCAAGCTGTTTCCTGAAGTTAACGTCTAAGTACGGTTGAAAAATATACACATCTCTGACCAACTAGCCAAATTCCAGTTTCATTTTTGATTTTGCATACAGATGCAGAGACATGCTTTGAGCAGCTTAAGTCAAAGGAGCCTTTACTGCCATAAATGGACCAGCTGAAGCTAATCATTTTCCCCATTTCTAAGATAAGCCTTGAAGTCACAGGTCGATTATGAGAACTGCTGCCTCTGGTCAAAACAAATTTCACTCTTGAGGCTGAAAACCAGGAGGTTAGATGAGATGATCTCAAAGGTCCCTTCCAAGTATTACAAATTATTCTAGGATTCTAATTACACTGTTTCAGGAAATTGCAGGTGACACTGAAGGTCATCTATCAAGTACAGAAGTAAGTCCAAAGGAAGGCCGAGAAATCAAACAGTGAGTATGACTCAAGATTTTTAACTAGGAACCTTGTCTGGAGGAGGGAGAAATCAGGACACGGGTGTGTTCACTGTTCAGCCAGAGTGCAGGAACACAATTTAGGGTGTAGCTACTTTTGCACACGTGACTTTGGAGATTACTTGCAAGAACCTGGAAGTCAGGGTGGAAGTACAGGTTTTGGGCTATTGTGCAAAGATATTATCGAAGATGCTATGACACAATGAATAACAAGCCAAATAAATAAAATCATAGTGTATCACAGTATTTCTGTCAATTGCCCAATACATTGGGTTCGGAGACGCATAAATTTAGGACACACAAGCTGGAGCTTACTACATTTCCTGAGCAATTAGGATGCCTCCAACTCTGTGATAAGGCTGAATTTTCAAGTGCTTTCTGACCTTGCATTATAAACACAGACTTCAGGATCAGCTGTTTGTCCTTGTTTCATATTTAACTACATGTATCTAGAGAACTGGTTTCGGGACACTGCTGTGTGTTCCCTATGGTCGTTCTCCCTTTTAGCCCAGACAAAAAAGGAGGAGAGAAAGAAGACTGCTTTCAGAAAAGAAGGCTTTGAATTTCAAATTGAGGCCCAAGAGGTTATCAACCTTAGTAACCAGCTGCATATCAGGAACTCGTCTATATATTTTCCATTCATTTTAAAAGAGATGGAAGTGAATTTAGCATTAAAATCACCCATCATAGAGGTGGAACGCAGGTAGCGGTGGCAAAACGTACATGTTTGCTAGCGTTATTAAAAAGTAATTCTATATTTCTATGTGTGGAGAGGGGCGGAAATAACTTCTAGCTTCACAGGAAATGTTAATTATGTTTTCCATTCCTATATATGCATACAGAAACTACAAAAATCATATGGAACAAAAAGATACCAGGAGTAAAGAACTTACAAACATTCTCCCAAAACCTGCCAGCTTAATTCTACACATCTTCACTCAGTTATTTTAATAGCATATTAAACAAAACACTAGACGAACTATATATTTTTATATAAAAAAGGAAAATTGATGCTTTGATGACCAAAAATGGCATGAAGTAACAGCTGTAATGATCAAGATGTATAAAACAATGAAAGCATATTAAGGTAAAAATGAAACACTCAAAACTTCTTTTTAAGGCCTCTTTGCATAAAAATAATTTATTCTCATTTCAGATAAGCACAAATATACATGCAGTACCAGCAGTAAGAAATATTCCACATAGCAGTCCAAGTCACTATTGGATGTTTCAGGAGAAAAAACGCAAAACAAAAATAATGCCTGTCCTAGTGTGCCATAGTAGAAGCTGCCTCCTTCAAGTATGCATAAATGGTGTTTCAATACCGTATTGCACAGCATTTCAAATTCCTTATGAATATCCACGAGCAGACCAGGTAACTCACACTGAAACTCTATCCAGCCTGTTACATAGCAGTAAATCCATTTGCTTAGGTGCAACATTCATCTGGACCTATGCACCGTATCTGCAGCAACCATACTTATTACCCACTCAATGCTACATAATTAGCTACACCATCTTCCGAGAAACTGTAAGACTCAGAAAGTTTCTGCTTTGAGTAAAAATTTTACCTTAAGCTTAGTTACTGGATTATTGGCTCTGTCCTCATACTCATGTACAATATGAAGACAGCAGCAATTGCACAGACATAGAGTCAATAGACTGGGCAGACTAAAACACTCCCTGCTAATAGTAGCTATACACTCATTTGTCTCAAATTTATCTTATAGATGTTGATTTCAAGCCTTCTCCAAGGAAAAGGCGTAAGAGACGCTCCAATATTAAGAACTGAGGGATTTTTTTCCCCCCAAATATTCAATTCATTCTTTCTTTCAAAACTACATGACAGGACTGGAATAGAAGAGAGACTATTTTGCTGTTATAATTTCTCAGCACTGTAAGAATAATTGGTCTACAAAAAATATTCAAGAGTATTTTTTTAAATTAAGGAAGAAAATCTTTCAAATCTTTCTTGGAACTTAATTCACTTAATATAGTTTAATCATTTAAATTAATCAGAAATATACTTTTCTTTAACAAATATTTTGTATTTGTCCTTTAAGTAATCAAACACCTATGCTGACTTATGCCCTTTCACAGAATCCCAAGCATTTTATCCTTAAACTCCATAATTGTCGCAACTTTTTTCTCTTCCCAAGCAAGTTATCAAGAGAAGAATTCTTCAAAAATGCTTTTTAAAAAAAGAAATAAACAAGCCCTGTAATCCACTTAAGTGAGCTACAAAACCTAATGCAGCTATATATACATACACACAAACACACACTGACAAAATCAAACATTCAGTAATTTTCTAGACATTTGGGTTTTGCATAACCAACAATTTATCTTTGACGGCTGCAGGGAACAGCGCTAACTCACATATTAACGCACTGTTTGTGACACTATTTGCAAGTGTGACTTAAGGAGAGCACAGTTTACGATATCACTGCTTTGAGAGCTGGCTTCTGGAACAAATTCTGTGGCTATGAAAAACATGAGACATTGTAAAGTAGTAAAAGTTGGCTATCACTGCTCCACTAAGTGGTTAAAACAGTTTATATCAAATTAATGGTGATAACTTACAGAGAAGTTTTTTCTTAAAAAAAAAGGTATAGTTTTTCTAAGGAGGAGTTTTTCACATGGGGGAGACACGCACATGCAAGACAATAAAGAAACACTTGCATAAATTAGGTAATAAATCAGTAGGATCGTACTCATTTTCATCCACAAGTTCAACTTTTCAGATACTGTGAGTTTTTAGTACTTACCAGAACATCCTTCTTCCCAGGATTCAAAGTGTTTTACTACAATTTCTTCCAATTTCCTTAATTTTGGATGACTGTAAACAAATTCTTTTTTATTTTCAGACACTGGAAAGGACAAAAAGCAATTAAAGATATAAGTGCACCTGCAGTAAGTATAAAGGGTCAGTGAACTTCATTTTCTTGCATCCTAACTCTGAGTCAGACATACAAATTCTCCACGCTAGTTCGATTGACAGTCACCTAAACAAAAACCTCCTCAGTGAACTACTTACCAAAGCATGTTTGTTAAACCCAGTTCTTGAAAATGTACTATTACTTTTGTTATGTTCTCCTTGTATACACGTACAATCAGCTTACTTAAATAATAGTATTTTATCCTTCCATTTTAATTCAAATTAAAAGCTTCAAACATACAAAGCTCATTTGAAGGTAGCTAGAACGACTAAGAGAAGATGAATACAAAAAGCGGTCTGGTGAAAACTTAATCTTGAATATAGAATATTAACCAAATATCAGAACAAAGGTCTTCCTGCATCCAAAAACCATGTAGAAGTATTTCTTGTTTCATTTAACATTGGCTCTGCTCTATTAAAATTTGAATTAGGGAAGAAGGAGACGTGGAAAGTAAATATTCTGTCTTTAAAAGGGAAATACTGACCTGTTCTATCCGCATAAAGACTTCCATTTGCTGAAGTCAGAGCTGTGTCTGCAAACATGTCTCTAAGCTGCTGATACAGCTTCATGAAGTCCTCGTTACGACCAAGTTCATTTCTTGTACGAGTTAATCCTTTGTAAAAAGTTGAAATATCTTAGTATTCAATCTCCAGAGTCTATCTAATTTTCGCTCTCCAAAAAACACACTTCTCGGAAGTACCAAGCTCCTTCCCAGAGCTCAAAGTTACATGTTAGCTTTAGAAAACATAAAAAACGTTGTGTGGAGCAGGTATTTTTTTTCAGGGAAGATGCCATTATCAAATTTAAAAAAGAAATTATATGGATGAAAAAGAAGCCTTGGCCCTATGGAGAAACTGAGAAGTTTTATGTCAGTTGCTTTACACTAGAAAAACTCTACAACTACCAGAAATGCTTCAAAGTACCCAAATAAAAGGGAGCCCACTGCTAAAAATGTTTCTTGAATAATTTTAGGACAACGCTGAAAAGAATGTTGTTCTATTGGAACCAGAAAGCAAACTTACCAGAACCAGGACAGAGAAACTAGTTATTAGAAATATTTCCATCGGTTACCTTCGACGGCGCACACGAACTTAAGGAATCTGAGAAACTACGAAATACATGAAACGCTCGCCAGTGCCTGGGTCTAACAACAGCACTATGCTTTCAGAAATGGGAACATCTGCATGTACAGAAGTACTAAACTGCAAAAATACCAAAAGTATAATCACAAAAATGATTAGGATATGCACCCTATATATATATATGTATATTCTAGATATGCACACTATATGTATGCTACTATGCGCATAGATATTCTATAATATACAACGTGCACCGTACATTCTTGGTTTCGCTGTAGGACAAAGCAACGCCATTTTAATGAAGTAGTGCTGTAGAGGCAGTAGTTTTTATAAGCTAGCACACAATTACATAGCTAAGTGGCCTCTTTGTAAACGAAAAGCAAGCAGGAAAAACGAGAGCAACACCATGGGCGCTTCCGAACAGCTGGAACCTGCCGTTGGACGAACGCTGCCGGGGGGAACGTGGCCCTCCCAAGAGGCGCCAACGCCAAGCCAGCTCTGGGAGCTGGCAGCGGCCAGCCAGCAGGTCTAAAACTGACTGTGAGGAGTTGCAGAAGGCTCACAACGTTCAATGATAGAATTAAGAAAACAAACCGAGGCCAAACAGAAAACACTACTGCATCACTGTATGAATTCATGCTGTATCCACATCTAGAAGAGCGGACATTGTTCCTACCATCTCCTTTCGAGAAAAGGACAGAACAGAACTAGAAAAGGGATAGAGAGAAACAATAGCAATGAGCAAAAGTATGAAATATTCTCTACAGAAATGTTAAAATTAGATGAATTCCACTTAATATAAAAAAAAAAAAAGACCTTCTATAACTTGATGGGGAAGAGAATAAGAATTTGAGTTTAATTTTCAGGTGGAACAGTTCATTGTGAGGATACGCAAATGTCAGCACCGAGAAAAGGAGCGGCGTATTCCAGCTCCGTTTCTGGCTGGAAACGGAGGTGGAATAAACTACCAGCAGCAACATGAAATTATGTTGACCAAGAGTAACCACCTTTCACCCCAAAGAAAAATTCTGCACCTGGCAATGGGACCAGCACTACGTCCTTAGGCCAGTCACGTATGAACAGAAACGCGCGCCAGAAACTAGTTTAATCGCTAACAAGTGGCAGCAGTGACAGAGAACCAGAGTGTACTGCAACTAGTCAGACCTGAGTTAGAGATGGACTTAAAAGGTTTGCGTGCCAGGGTTGCCTTGCTTTGATTAAAGAATTATGCCGGACACTGGAAACCTCCCACATAAGCCCTGCTGACACTTCAGTCCAGTGAGACTATAGACGTGGGCAGAAAAGCAGTTGTGGACACCACAGGTAAGTAGTATTTCTGCAAGACTACTAGCAAAAGCATTCCAGAATAGTTACAAGCATAACAGCACTCATCCTGCAGACACAAAGAATCATGAGACTCATTTCACCAGTAAAAATAAAGACAATGCTTAACACAAAGTTCTTGATACCACACACACATCAGAGTAGATAGGGCTAGAGATTTCTCATCTATCTACACAAAACAGAGCCCTAACCCTTGTGATGTTCTCACTAGCTCAGAACAGGTACTAAACTGCTATACAGAGTGGAGGGAATTCGGGATCTGCACGAGATTCAGCACAAATCAGAATCCCTGTGACGAGTGTGTCAGATCCATATTCCTTTAGTGAGCAGCACAGCAGAGATAGTCAGCAACACTAGCATTACCCAACAGATTTAGGCAAATTCAGGCACTTAAGACACAATATTTAACTCGCATTGCTTCTGGTTTACCTTCTTCATGGCACTTCATTTTTAGCACAAAACTGTGCTAGTAGATTAATCAAGGAGTTTTATGTCAAAAAATTCTCCTTGGGTTTATCACTGGTGCAGTATTATGGCATAAAACAGAATCAAGCAGTGTCAGTCATGTCAAGGGGCAAACTTCTTCATGCAAATCATTCACAACACTCATGAGTGCAACAGATGGGCTGAGAAACTTATATATCGAAAATTTAATCACTTCAAATGAAACATATACTTCTCAACTGCACAAGAGTTTTGGTCCAACAAACTTCTCAGATCTCAGTGAGGACATACATGTATACTGCAGGCAGTGGAGAACTTCCTCATTTGATTTCCAGAACCAGAATGATGAATCTTACATGCTGGGTTTGGTCAACCTAATAAACTGAAAAACTAGTGCTAGCTAGGGCGAGGAACCTTTTCTGTTTTTCATCAGCCTGCTAGGACACAGATTGTTTTTTACCATAAAAATCTGGACCTCTCAGTCCTCTTTCAACTACACCAAAACTTCAAAGCTAGGCTTAGGGAACCATGTAAGATATGGCTCTCGATACTGCTTACTCAGGGCTCCCTTCCCATAAAGAATAGCAGTTCTCTAGAGCTGATGCTGGACTGACCTATTGCCAGAGACTTATCTAACCGGGCTTGAGGAACCTGTGTATTTGTGGGAGCAGTTTTGAGAAGAAAGGGAAAGAAATCAGCAAGTATATGCATATAAGTGAGAGGGCAGCTGAGGACATTTTCCATTTTAACCTTCATTTTTTAACCTTCCTAATAGGAAACTGTGTTCATATATAGAAGCCTTAGAAAATTAAAGCCTCACATGAGGAAAGTGAAACTCATGTTCTAAACCAGGGTAAGACCTTGTCTACAGTATAAAAAAAGGAATTATATACGCTTCCTTAGTAAGCAGGGCAGATGCTGCACAGCCAGTATATAAATTCTAGCATTATGCATCTAAATTTGTACTTAGAAAGTCTTCTGGCAAAGAGGCTTAAAGCTCATGCATATATTGCAACTATTTTTGCTATAATGGAGCTAAATAAGGGAATTACTTTAAAAGGTCAAACCCGTTCTTGTTTTAAATTGTTTAACAGTTATTCTCTGCCTCTCCTAAGATATTACTGTCACTTACGCCAAATTCTAGCTATGTCTTCTCCCTTTTCCAAACAGCTCCCATACATACACCTTTGCTTTCCAAATGCACTATATAAATACTTTTAGCATTGAATGACACATTTCCAATGCGGATGAAGAGGAATCAAAAAGCAGTAACGATTGCAACCTATTTGTTAAATTAACTATTTTGAGCAAAAGTCACCATATATATGAGGATTGGAGGATTGGAGTCAAAAGGAAAGATGTTTCTGAAGACTTTTCACCTTTTGATCCATCCATAATTCCACCAAGGTAGATAAATAATGACCGTAATCCCATTTGCAGCAGTAGCTCATAACCGTGATATAAACTGATACAAAGTGCAAAATCTCCTTCAATTGTGCCTTGCTGTATTCCCTGCAAAAACAAAAATGACTCATCAGATTACAGTCAATAAGCAACAGGAATCATATTGCAATTCTTATGACAAAAATTTGATTAACATCTGAGAAATTGAACCAAAGAAAAAAAGTAATGCACCGTGAGTGGTTTGTCTATCAAAAACTTCAGGAAACAGGCTACCGAATTCCTAATGATCAGTCAATGTAATTTGCTCCCAACATTCAAATTATTTCCAGAATACTTGTATTATATTCCAAGATTAGCTCATTACTTTCCAATGCAATAACATTTGAAATCTTATGGCTGAACCAAACATCAAGATTTCACAAAATAAGAGATTTCTGTCATGTCTATCCAGACCACAAAGTTTAAATGTCTTTCCTACTGTTAACTATATTTCCCAATATTCTTTTTAAGGTACGCTGCCTTTTTTTTTAAGGCAATATTCTTTCTAAGTTTTCAATTCCATAGCAGTTCAACTCCAGTTTAACAGCTCCATGGCAATTTACAGAGAAAAAGGAGTAGTAATGTAGTCTTGAGGTCAAAGTGCAATTTTGACAGTCAGAAAGTACAATGCAAATTCTTAGTACAATTCCAGCTTGTAAATGAAGTTCTTCATTTTTTCTTCAACTCTCCTATGTTAGCATCAAGAAATCTGGAACAAGGAAGCATATTTTATCCCAACGCTACAAACAGAACGTTACAATGAAAACGTAAGTTAAAACATATCAAGAAACTGTGTAAACGGTGAAGCGTTACTATTTATTCGATACTCTAACAACACGAAAAATAACTATATTACATTTACCGCATTTTGTGAAGAAGGGTTTTTTCTAAATTGATCCCTTGCTAGAATTATCTGGTACTTCGTAAGACTGGGAATATCCCGCCTTGCTAAAACTCCTATTTTAATCAGGCGTCCAGCAAATGTTTCTAGCACCTGCAAACAAAACAAAAAAGGCATACAAGAGATGTGAAGGTAAGGATATTTAGCCCTTCCAAGTAGTTTTATTTTTACTCTGGATAAGTGGCTCATGTATTCTCTCTGAAAGGTATTTTGCCAGACAGGCAGTACCCACCGTAACGCTCTCCACCCCAGTCTATGTTCCTGTGCTAATTTGCAAAAACTGCTCTAAGAGCAGCAGAACTATTACAAACTGGTTTCCAATGGATTTGTGCTCTGTATCCCATACACAAAACGCCCCTCACTCCCAAGACCACCCCATAACCACCAGCTGCCTGAGAAGCGGTACCACACGCTGTGTTTTCGTCGTTGCGCAAGGGCTGACTGCCAGGGCAGAAAGGGGCAGTAGCTGCTGAACTCATGTTGCAGCTCCCGCTCTTACTGGGAGCACTGATTTCGATGTCTTTTCTACTAGGCCATCAGTCTCGGGAAGACTTGTAGGAACGCATCCATCTTTGAGAGCTCTAAATTACCACAAGTGGATGACTAGCCAACAGGTTGAAAGTCGCGTGTGCGGGGAGGGGGAGCGAACAGAGAAGGAGCGAGTGTCAGGCAGACGGACACAGCTGGGAAACGGCACGGCGCCTCGCTTCCTTCGAAGGCATGCCAGAAATACAGTTGTGGTTTTATACATCACATGTACCTGCTTTCCACATCAGTGAAACAAGGGAAGTGACCTGCACTAATTCATCTTAATCCTGTTTTTCTTCTTTGTTTCTCAGCCTTAGGTGGTCAGGATTTTTTTCATAGACTTAGTTTTGCATGAGTACTAACTCTGCAATAATTGGACTAATCAGATTTGTACTACAGAAATGACTTACAATCTCTTGGCTCGGTTGGCTAGCAGTACCACAAACATCTCAGCACACCACAGCACAATCACAAGCTTCTCCAAAGACTGCCTTGACTTAGCTTGACAGGAGATAGCTCTTGACAGCTGTTTACACGCATACAGCGTTTCCCAGCTTCCTAAGCATTTTAACACCAGTTTGGCTGAACCAGCGCTGGGAGGAAAGAAGGTTATAGCACAGCAAAGTCTTGAACGTCTCTTCCTTTTTTAACTGTTCCTTCAGCTCACTGAAGAGTCAGTCCAAATGAAATAAGAACAGGTCTGACTTTTGAACTTCTAACAAAACTGACTCAAGCATGTCTTCAGCTTCTGAAGACAAAATGCCCTAACAGGGAAAGACAATCCATTTTAAAATACAGGGCATGTTTAAACACTAAGTAACAACACTATTTATCCTCTTCACACTTTTAGAGCGTTCTGGGCTATGAGAGTCCGTTAAAACGCACTAAGATTATCAACAACCACTGTCTATTTGCACCCCTCTACTACGACGGCAGCTTAGCCTAACTCCTCCTCTCTCTGCTTGGTTTGATTATTTTTGCCGTCTGGTACCGCTTTAGCTTCTTATTCTGGCTACGGTGCCCACATGGCACGAAGTGGGACGCCCTGAGGAAAGGGGTGGGAATAACTGACACTGCAACAGTATTAATCCTAAAAGGGATCAACAAGGCCAAGAACTTTGAAAGAGCAAATGAGAAATTGTAAAGGCACCAGCTAACTTGAGAAAACAATGTACTGGGGAATTTCCACACCGCAGGCTCCGTGCACACAAATCTGTTAAAAAAACAACGAGCTGGAGTCAGCAGACTAAGCAGATGATAATAGATCCAGGCTGGTGAGACATAACTGAAATGAAGCCTAAACCCTGACTACCACCTGAATGCTCTGGTGCATCTCAGACTGCTCCTCCTCCCTACTCGAGGGCCTTCAGACCAGGATATCAAGTCTCACTCAGCCTGCCATCTCTACATCAGATGAGCTGATCTCAGCTCATCGTACCCTGCTGCATGCAAAAGACAAGTTTTGTCTGCATTAGCAAGCAGTACAGGCCAACAGGAGCAGATCTGCAGGTAAAACAGTCAGTGCTGAGGACCAATGCCCACTCCATGCGTGCCAGCAGATTTTATTTTGGAGTAGCTCCCGTGGACTGAACGCCCTCACGCTGCCGAGGAGCTCGGATGCAGTTCTGATCTTCAGGCTTACTCTCACCTACAGGGAACCCGGTCCATGGGCTCCTACGCTGCTCCGTAATGCAAAGCAAAGCACAGCACCGTAAGTAGGGACAGACAAGGGATTTCATCCCAAAGCATTCATTCCCATTAAGACTAATGGGCTAATCAAACCAACTAAACCAGTAATACAAACACACCCACAGCGACCTGAAGGCAAAAAGAAACCTGCAGCAGCAGAACAGACTGTTTATTGTTTTTTTCCAAGGGTTTCTTAATTTTCTTGTGACACGTAAAAGAATGTTTCTGCTGATCCATTCTGAGATGGTGCATAGATTACACACAGCATATCGGGAACTGCATGCATCTGTCTTTACGTGACTTTTGTGTTGATTTGACAGGCTAGCACCAACTAGGACCTATACCATTGCTAAGGATTCCCAGAGGAAAGGAACAAATCCAATATATTTTTCTGAAAATGCAGTCAAAAACATTCACCAAGGCACCTGGAAGTCCAAATGCACAAGAAATTAGTTTCTCGTATCTGGTTTAGCCTTAAAGGTTTAAAATTCAAAATTTTGTCTTTTACCGAGCAGTTTGTTGTTGTTATGCTGCTTTTAAAACTAGCCTGTAGCTGATGAGCCACTTTAAAAGGAGCAAGGTGGAAACATCTGTTCCAGCCTGTAAGAAAAAAAAGGTATTTCCAAAAAATGGTCACCATGCAAGGTATAACTCAGTGCTTTTATTTTAATGATGTTTCATTAAAATTGCAATTTACCCTCTCCTCAAACAGTTCAGGGATAAGGATACTTGAGACACTGGAGATCAAGCTCAAACTATGGCTCAAGTAGTGGAAATGGAGTCAGTCTCTGAACATAAAAATGTTTCCTTAAAAAAGAAATTAGTTCTTACATTAGAAAGTAATGCCCACATAACTGTAATATTGCAGTACGGGTGTGTTACGTCTCATACTGGTTGCACAGCTCTTTTTTAAATTTTCCATTACTTGTATTTTTATGTTTCATCTCTTGGCCTGATTTATAACATTTGAGAAAATTATATTGTCACTGTGTGCTCAATGTACAACCCCTGTCTGATTTAATCATCATCTACAAAACAAGCCAAGGAAGACTATTACGAAAGACAGCAGGATCCAGTCACCTGTAGCTTCAAAACTGGTAAGAACAGTAAACATAACCTACTTAGAAGAGATACAGAAACAAGCACTACTCAACGTGATTACATTTATCATGTTTCCATACCTTTACTTTTAATTAAAAAGATAATACTCCTGGAAAGTCTCTTCAATCTTTCCAGAACATTTAAGTGTTATGTTACTTATTTAAAAATAGAACTGTAGAATTCATTTATATGAATTTCTTATTAGCGCTAATGACTTTCTCTATCTCCCTAAAATTAGTTGATAAGGGTGACAGACATACTGCCAATATACAAAGGAGAACCTGTAGAGCTATCCCATGCTAGAGTAAACTTGCCAAGACCAGAAGGGTATTTGTTGAGCAAGGTATCTTTCCCCAGCACACCACGCTATGCCTTGAGATTACCCAAAGACCTGTGGTTTGGGCCTACAACACTAGTTGAGAACAGCTGCGTACTACACGTAAGCGTTGTGAGCAGTGACGAGGCACAGAACTGCCTGCTGTTTCAGCTACATCTTACTAATAACGGTTTTTAATTTGTTTTCTCTTAGCACAAATAAAAAACGAAGGCTCTAAATTTGTTCCCCAGAGACTAACTGGAAACAAAAGATCTGGCCTAGTTTTTTCACCACAGGTTCGCAAACTTTCTTTGCCGAAGGAAAAAAAGAAAGAAGAACCTGAGAGCCTATAATACGTTAAGAACTCAGTTTACACGGCATCTCTTTTAGAGAAGAGAATGAGAGCTTGAGAGAAACTAGCTACCAAACAGACGATATCTTCCCAAAACAAAGGCTGACAAGATCTACTTATATTCATTTCCTTACAGCCACCGGAAATTCAAAGTGCCAGGGAGCTTTCTGTAGTTCTCTGAGCTGTGACTAGCAGAATCTCCCCATTTTAGACAGCCACACCGTACTCAAATAAATAAATGAGGCTGCCTTCTCCATCATCTCTTTCCTGCCTTCCCAACTCATCCAGCTCCAGCTTTTTCAGCGCACAGTATGCCACAGTTCACTTCCAAACATGTTGCGGCAGACGCAGAACTGACGTGGAAGGAAATGGGCCTCCATTGTGCAATGGTGTGGCAAATCACATCCCGCAGCTGTGCTGGAACGCTAACGGGCCCCGCGCCAACCTACTGGTCTGGCTCAACTCGCGACCGCTGAAACACAGCGGGTCAGACAAACAAGCAGCTCCAGAACACAAACCCAGACGGCTGTCGTTGCTGTGCACCATATGGACGCTACGTTGCTCCCGCTGCCTGCTCCACGTTTTCAAACTCCCAACTAGGGGAGGGCAGAAAGGGAAGAAGCGGGGAGAGAAGACTTTTCTCAGGCTTCCCTCCCAGGCTCCAGTGCTACGAACCACAGCTGAAAAGCCAGACCAAAAGGTGAATTTAACCTAAGTATGAGGACTAGAGCACTGTGATTGTACCATCCTGGAGGAGAACAAACTGATTTGATATTGCAGGAAGGCACGAAAGCAACCAGGGCCTTTTGCAGCTCTAGGAAAGAGCAGCCCCAGTGAACATGAGATGAAGAAAGACCGAGGGCATTCATTATTTTGTTTTAGGACTTAAACTAAAATGGTTTGGGTTTAACAAAGTGTAGGATCTTGAGAGGTGGTAGGTGTGGCAACCTTAGACTCCTAAACATAATTTCCAAGAAGTCATCCTAGGAATGATATGGTTTGCAGAATGTATACTGTGTTTAAACACTGCCAACCATAGCTCAAGGTTGAGAGAAAGAGTCTTACGACTCCATCAAAGAGCGTATTCTGGAGCCTGAGAGCCCAGCA